CCCCAAAACCCCAAAACCCCAAAACCCCTAAGTGGTGCGTCCACATTGATCAAGATATTTTAATGGAATTCTGTTCAGAACCTTATTTATATATGGAACAGAGTTAGTAGGTGGATTGGACGCTTTGGGGAATAGGAGCGGTTTTGGGGTTGAGCGTGAGGGAGAGGTGGTGGTAGGACGGGGCTTTGTGGAGGGATAGGTCGCAAGAGAGGAAGTAGACCACTGCAAATATCACTCAACCCACCCCCAACACATCACACATCCCTGCAAAACTCCACAAACTAAACACCAAATTCCCTATCATCGGTCCAAAAATCTCGCCTAGTGCAAAGAACATGTTGAACAAGCCTGAGCACATGTCATTCAGAACCTCGCTTGCAGAATCAGTCTATACTATTATTCAAATCTTACTCTTCCTTTTGCAGCTTCTATCATCTCTTCCATCGGAGTTATCATCAAATGGGAGTTAGCTATCCCTGCAAGCAGTAGAGCTACTGTCAATACCACCATGTTTGGTGTCAAGAACCATAGAATGTAAGAGGAGCTGTAGAATATTGTAATGATTCCAAGTATAAATCAAGATATCATAGACACTCTCATATTTGAAAAATAACGGAGGTAAAATGGACTCACAATTCAGCTGATCATATATCCAAGTCCAAGAGCTAGGAAGAAATATCCGGATGTTTGTGGTTGAATATTAAATGTCTCCTTCATGTATTCAGCAAGGATTGGATCAATGAATGCAAACTGAAATACAGCAATGAATACTCACAAACAAGCAAACACCACTCTCTTTGTAGTCAAAAGCTCTGAATATTTTGGCTTCTCTTCATCAGTTTGAACAGAATTACTCTGGATATCATCAACAAAGCAAGGTATTAGCCTCTTTATAACCAACCCAATGGTAATAGAGATAACAAAGAAAGTCAGAAACGGGAGTGCGCTTCCTCCTAGTTCATAAAGAATCGTTCCTATCACTGGGCCTAAGCTCAACCCAAGTCCTGCGGAAGTTTCAATACAGGCTATGACAAAGTTAATTTTAGTAGGGTAAGTAAGTGTCAGAATGGAGTATGATGACGTTTGGACCATACTTGTTCCAAATCCCTGAATCACCCTCATTGTCATAAAAACGGCAATATAGAGTACAGAATTAGTTAAATAAGTACTGAGGAAGAAGCCTAAGAAAGGAGCTGCAACAATGATCATCCCCCATTTACACATATTTCTTCTCCCTAGAGTGTACAGATATTTTCCAACAATAGGGCTAAATATGGCCATAGAGACACTGTACACACAAAACATAAAGCCTAAATAAATCTGGTCGATATCATGTCTCTCAGCATCAATAGGCAACAGTGGTGCTCATATACCATAAGATCAGTTTAACAACATATTAACCACTCAGAGGTACACCATCGGGAGTAAACTAACATCATGGTCATAACTCACATCTGTAGAAAAAGACTCATTTCCTTCCTGTTCATCCTCTTTAGTAATCAAAGGCGCGGTCTTCTCCTTCTGGGCCGCCTCAAGGTCCTTTGTGGACTGGGTGCTGCTGATCGTTGTCATTTGAAGTTAAATTAAAAATGTGAGATTTTTATAACAATTTGTGATTCGTCTCCTGGGGTTTTGGGGTTTTGGGGTTTTGGGGTTTTGGGG